GGCAATAGTTCCCGCTTTGTACATTGCTATAAAGTTCGTATGTTTGTCTCTGGAATATTCGGGTCGGACAACGCCTGACCGCCAAAATAAAATCACTTCCATTTTAAATTTAGATTGCTGATCATTGTCATTCATGTATGTATAAGAATGGAGAATAGCAATGAGATAGACACTGAATACAATTACGAAGACTAATGAATCAATTTGAAAGTTGTAAAAAGAATATTCATATCCAAGTTTGGCACATCACTAATCATTTAGACAGCGCTGTTTATCGGAAGCTCTTGTAATCACACCTATACGTTAAAAATGGTTAGGTGCTAATCAAATTCCGGTCCCCCTGAATGTGAGAACTTTTTGGGAGGCAAGATTAAGTATATTTACTGTAATCGTAAAGCCTATTGATATAATTGTGGGAAAATTCAGCTGTCACTTCCTAAGTCACCTTAAGCGGGTTTGATTGACGGATAATCTCGGAACCTTCTTACATCAAAACTATTAAGCTCTAGTCGACAGTCGACAGATTTAAAAATCACCAATTCCGATGAATTCATCCTTTCTCCACCTTTATTTTTACTCATATTGAAAGACAAACTAACCTGGAATTGACCAGGACTGCCTCAAAAGCTGCCCTCGAAAATAGTATGCTTAATAGCCCAATAGGCATTAGTATATATATTAGCCATAGGGGTTCATGTGAACATACTTATATTGATATGTATAACTGGATGGATAGGCATATATACAAAAATATAGGTATATGCATACATGAACTTTTTAAAGGATAAATAAAACTTTTATTTAGTAAGTTGCTAGATTCGCTTTGCCAATATTTATGTTGGAGATATAATTTAGTTCTTGAGCAGCTAACGACAATTCTCCTCCTCTGTACAGGTAGATATTCTCACCGAACTGGCATTTCACTTGGTCTATTTGCACTTCGCCTGCCCGATCAGTCTGTGCACTGGTTGTCTCTTCCTTGGAGGGTGCTGTGGCTACCGTCTGCCTGTCTGCCTGGCCCGACTCGTCTACTTAAAGATCCCCAAAGTCCCCGGAGAGCCCGCCGCTCCACCCGGCGCTTTTGGTCAGCATAAGGAGGCAAAGCTTTGGACAACTAAGTTTATGGATTCCGCGCCACCAGAATCTTACAGTCTCTTAGACAAGCGTATATCTCATGTCTTTTCGCCAGCTGCTGATCTGCAACTCAAAAGCTTTTGGGAAAAGTTTTTACTCAACTCCATGTGCAATGACAATAAACGAACACTATTCAAGACTTATTGCCTTCAATCACTGGTCGGGTGGAATGCAAAAGCTCTGTCAGCTTCCAAATGCGAATGTTTGTCTGGTGAACTGGCAAACAAAAAAGAACTAGGACTAAATCCAATCCAGGGGCTCCAGGATACCACTTCGGTGGACCACATTAAGGCATATTCGAAGGGTACCAGAAAGATGGTCGCTGAAGAATATCAAATGTTGCATGTTGCTCTGTGCATCGAAACAGAGTCCCTTAAGAATATTTTCCACCAGCAGTATGCATGCGATATTTTGGAAAAAGTGCCTCTAGCTGATCCTTCTGAAGGTGAGAAAGTATGGTTTTGATATTCCA